AAATGTTCTGTTTTCCATTCCTATTTTAAGTCTTTGGTAATTGCTTCCATACAGAACGCTTTAAAACTAAACCCGTACACACCGTAACAGTGAAAGCGATCCCAAACGCTGACACGGTTGCCAAATCCAGGCAGTTGGGAGAGTTTACCTCAATGTTTCGGGTTTTTAAGAAAAACAAAACACACACACTTCCATGACAAGTGTTCGTCTCAGTTGGCTTGTGTCCCTCCTTTAACAGCCAGGTTTGAAAACCTGAGGGCCAGAAACTCTTCAGCATCATTAACACCCGTTATGATGACTCAACTTCACACTCTGCACCACGAAGGTATTGTAAAACACTAAGCAGGGTGACCACGGCCTTCCGAAGACCCCCTCGAGGCAGCACCAAGCCAAATTAACGTTGAACGACAAAACCAGAAATGGGCGGCAAAGACAGTTGCCAGTTGCAAAAATCTTTGTTATTTTAAAGATTTAAAAGGTGTCTAAAAGGTGAATTCCCAATCTCAGAGGTTGGCAGAAGAAGAGGAATGTAAAATGCAACCAAGCCTCAATATTGGATTTGAGAATGCACATTTTACTAATATCCTATCCATATTCTCATGTCTATTAGATGACAAGGAATGGTAAGGGCTTTAGCGATCTGAAATGTGGGTTGACTGCAGGATGCTAAGAATTTCTTGAACTGAGAGGGGGATCACTGCAGAAGTGCTAAGGTGAATGAGTAAAGACCACAAAAGCATAAAACAGATAAAACACAACAACCTTGCTAGAGAAAAATCCATACTTAAGGGACAGGCGGTTTCTTCTCTTTCCTGAGCTGCTAGTTACACCTCTGGGCATGCCACAGGTTCTGCATGAAATGACCTGAATCAAACCCTTCATCCCTCCATGCTATCATCCCATGGGTGGTCTACATAGCAATAAAACCCACAAAACTCAGTAATAGTTACTGAACACAGAAAAATGGCCCAATTTCACATACCAAATTTTGTGGCTCAGTGAGTTTTAGAATCGAAATTGTTCAAGTCCCTGTGTAACAGTGTAAACATGATACCCCATTGCAACTGATACCCTGATCGTGTAAGTTGCACCATTTATGGCTAATGTCACCAGCTGGGACAATTTAAAAAAAAATAAAAGATTCCCCCCTTCTGTCCTCAAGTTCCTAGGGTTCCTGTGTAAATCCATTTGTCTTTTGTAACTGGTGGGATCTGTGGGACAGTAGGGGGAATTCTTTAATTGCTGGCAATCCCTGCTGTCAGTAGCGTCATCTCAGCAGTGGCATTTCTGGTAGTTAAAGACTTCCTCTTGCCCGTCCATGGCCCATTCAAGGAGTCCCAGCAATGAAAGAAAGGGATTACACAGAAGCTATGGGATCCCGAGGACAGAAGTAGGAAATGTTTCATTTCCTCCAGTGGATTCTCCTTCTCTAACAGAGGATTGTCATGTGTCTAACTTTACAGAGAACAAGTTCTTCTTTGCAACCCAGCTTCTTCTTGGTGCAAGAAACATCATCACAACAGAGGGATCCCCCTCCTTCTATCAGGTTTCAGCGCTACTCATAAACTGGCTCAAGGGTAAAGGGTTCTTAACTCTTGGGGGGGTGGGCTTTAGACATGAGGGAATCTCAAGTGGGGAAGAGAGAATGAAATGGTAGCTATTCCATTAGCAAACCTTACTGACTTTAGACCTGTAAGCAGTCATTTCTGAATTTACATTGACACATCCTATAGACATCCATCTAGACACCTATAATTATCATCTTAAACATTGGGATTAAGCTGCCAGAAATGTCAATTTGCTCAACAGCAAGGACAAGTCTCAAGCAAAATGAAAAATCAAGAGGATTTTTGTCCCTTTTTGGCATGGGGGGGTACGCCCAATGAATCAAACGATTGGAACGTATTGTAAAGAATATTCATCAGGAATCCTAGAACTGTAAGGGTTCTTAAGGCTCCACTGGATCAAGGCTCTACTCAATGAGGAATTTTGACATCACAGAACACAAACCACCACTACCCTTTCCAGCTCATAATGAGGACCAGATGTTGGTCTAATGACCACATCAGGTTGTGTTCTGCTGGTTATGGACAACCCAACACCAACCTCCTACTTTGCATGGCAGTCATATCATTACCATTATCATCATCATCTGAGAATTGCAGAGCTGGAAGGGACCCTATGGTTCATTAAGTCCAGCCCATCAAGGAAGCAGAGTGGGGATTCGAACTTCCCACCTCTGGCTCCACAGCCAAATGCCAAAACCACTGAGCTGTGTTGAAGCCTATTCCCCATAAATCCTCATATCATTTCACTAACCAACCAGCCTGCTTCCTTTGGTTTCTTTGGACTTCTGCTCACATGGAAGAGTTGCAGCAGGATAAACTTTACCAAACAAAGCAAAGCAAACCCAAAACAGTTAGCCTTAAAGACCAAGAGGTCCCCAAACACACCTGATGCAGACAGCCAGATAGTATACATTGACCAAATCATGAGACATGAAAAATACAGACTTTTACAGCTGATCATTCAAAAATACACATGGGAAAGGAAGTGCAGGACAGACGAGGCATTTTGGGCTGAAGAACTTGAGATGCTGGTTTAGATGCAGACAATCTTGTTGTTCAGAGCAGTCCCATCCAAAGTCAAGAAAGCAGGGATGGATGAGAAGAATGTATCTGGGAGGCAATGAATCTCCTTCTCTGTTCTGGTCAGAAGCAACCCAAGGGGGAAAAAAAGAAAAGAAGAGCAGATTTAAAGCCTATTTAAGAAAGGACATCTAGTAATTACAGATAAAAACATAACATTAATCAACAACGTCATCTCCCTTGCAGATGATATTCTGCATTTCCAGTGACTCTCTCCAATGCCCTCCTCTTAAAACAGTTATAGCAAAAAACTGTTGGAAGTATTTTTTTTTCAAAACGACTTCAATTTGGGCACCAAACATGTCTGCACATGGAAATTGCTGAGGGAGGGGACTGTTTAAAGTGAGCAAACGCCCTTTTCCCGAGATGGAACCAAAAAAGGGGATGATTCTGCTTGCATGGACTTCCAAGGTACTGTACATTGACACAACCTTATGGGACAATTGGTTGATCATTTGTAGGTCAGAAGACATGTTACATTGACACAACCTTATGGGATGATTGATCTGGTTGATCATTTGTAGGTCAGAAGACATGGGAAGGAAGATACCTTTTTACCTTATTTCCCTCCCAAAGTAAGGTGTCTACAGGACCTGTTGCCTTCAAAATGCAACCATATAACCGTATTTTTTCGCTCCATAAGACGCACCAATTTTTTAGTAGAAGAAAACAGGAAAATATAATCTGTTTTCTTCGCTCCATAAGACGCACAGACTTTCCAACCCCCTGTTTTGTGGGGAAAAAGTGCATCTTATGGTGCGAAAAATACGGTACATGGTTGATCCCACTAGATTCCATAAGACTTTATCACTAAAGAGCAAGTAGAGCAACCGGTTCCCGCCTGCCCATATTCATCATGCAGCTGAACCAAGCCATATAACTCCTGATCCAGAAAACCATGAAGAACTATCATGTACAGTGGACATTTGCAGACTTATCTTCCATGACATGAAGGCAAAACCACCCTGATTACACCTTCCCGCATTCCCAACCAGCAAGCAAATGAAGGATTGTGACAGAGGACAAGGAACCGCATCCTCCCTCATGCACAAAATTAAGATCCTGGATGAATCTACCATGAAGGAAACAGTTTTCTCTAGGTTAGGGCTAGGAAGGATTTTTGTGGGCTTGATTTGTACTTATGCACACACACATTGTCTACATGTCGGATGGAAACCCTCTCCTCTTTTGGATTTAGTAATTTTCGGCATCTCCTTGAAAAGAAAAACAGTTAAAGAAATACATCACAGTGGTCACAGTGATGCAACCCAGCAAAGGTCATGATGCAATTTCCTGGTGGATCATAACACATCAGAGATCTGCAGCAGCCTTCCACCAGCCTGCTCCTCTTCTTCAGACCTTTCTAATTACAGCTCCTATCATCCACAACCACCAGGCAGGGTGTCTAGGTTTGATGGGTGCTGTAGTCTAAAAACCACCAGGTTCAGGAAGGCAGTCGTAGTGTATGCTTGTAGGCACGCCTATACAGTGGTGCCTCGCAAGACGATTTTAACTCGTTCCGCAAAAATCGTTGTCTTGTGAAAGAATCATCTTGTGAGGTTCCCTATGCATCGGTCTTAAAAAAAAAAAGTCTTGTGAAGCATCAGTCTAAAAAAAAAAGTCTTGCGAAGCATTGGTCTAGAAAAAAAGTCTTGTGAAGCACGGTCATAGAAAAAAAGTCTTGTGAGGCACCATAGTGATCGCAAAAAACAATCGTCTTGCGGGTTTTTCGTCCCTTGAGGCAATCATCTAGCAAGGCACCACTGTATATTGCATCTGCACATTCTTAACTGGACCATACCATGCAAAATGTTGCCTTCAAAGATGTTCCAGAATAAATACACCTTGTTGGTTTTTATCCATCAGCTCCTTGACTGTGGCTAAGATCCACCAGCAAAGGAGAAGGAGCTGACAGTGTGAAATCCAGATCTGTTATTCTCTTTCTCAGCCTGAGATCCACCAGTTGGATCGCCTCTCCCGTGGTAGGCTCACCACGTTTGCAAGGTAGCTCCCCAGATCAACAACGGGATCAAGGAAGGGGCTGACGCAACACAGAAGCTGGCATTCAGTCCAAGCCATCTCCCCGAGTTCCCCCGACCCACTTCTTTAAACACATACACACAAGTCCAAGTTCATCTGTTGAAAAAAAATGTATTTGATTACTCGCGTAAAATTACAGTATCTCTGCTGTTAGTAAATATTAAATGTTAAAAGAAACTCAACCTATTTCCTTTCGGCTTTCCAAGAAAGTGCATATAACAGTCCAAAGGATTTCCCCCCCTCCCCCCTCCAATACCTAATACAAAATAAACAAACACTATACTTGATCTGAGTCAAGGAGTTGGTTTGAGCTCATTGGGAAAATATGTACATTTTAATGAACTCAATATTTCTCATTGTATGTACAAGAGCATCTAAATTTGTCTGTATAAGGTTGTTCAAGATGCCTTTTATAGCAGCACGGAGTCCAGCAATTTCCCCACCTCTCTATAGTGAATATATTTACAAGGCAAAAGGTTTTCAAACTACTGGAACAAGACTTTTGGATTTCCTCTAATCATCGGCGTGCTTATTTACTGTACAGAAACTTATTAACATCTAAGAGGACGCCAGTAAAAAGCACAGTACAAAGGACAGTTCCAAAAGGAGGAGAGGGGGGAAAAAAGAACTTAAAATCTACCCCACTCAAAGTAAAGCCGTTTTAAATTTCAGAACAGAAATTGAGAACAAAACAAAACACGCACACACACAACTGAGCCCGTCATGAAAGATGCACACGGTTCAGTTTTATATGGTCCTTTTTCATTCCTCCACACACATCGGTGGGTTCTGGGGTTTTTTTTGAGAATCGAAACAGATTTGCTGACAAAAATTGTCATCAGGATCGGAAGATACACACAGATAGACTTTCATCAGGGGATGGAGAGAGAGGAATAAATGAATTCCGGAGGCATGGTATCACCTCCGAAAGTTTCTGGGAAGCTGGGTATAGAAAATAAGTTAAATTCCAGAATGAGACCGGGGAGCGGAACAGACTTTTGTTGCTATAAATGTAACAGCACCACTTTAGTCAATTAGTAGTTTGACGGCACAGGATCATGATTATCATCATCATTATTATTAAAATACAGAAGATGGAAGTTAACGCTTGCACAGCCAAAACGGGGGGGAGGAAGGGGGGTATATCACTAATAAATAAGCCATTTTAAAACTCTAGATGTCGAACAGGGTACAAAATAACGTCTTTTTAATGTTGCTGTTTTGTCGATTTGCCAGAAACGAGAACAAGAACAACAACAACAACAACAACAAACAACCTCCCACACAACCTTAGGTTGCAATAACGGCAGGATCGTCCGTAACATGGGTCCTAATTGGTTACAATCTCTTTGCCGTCCTCCATGAAACGTGCGAAACGGAAATTCGTCCCGTTCTCGCTGCTCGCCATTTTCTCCAGACCAGCTAGAGGCGCGTTAGGTTCCGAATTCTGGAGCTTCTCCAGGCTGCCGGTCAGGCCGCTAATCGGGGAGCTGCTGCCGTTGCCGAAGCCCCCCGGAATGGGAGGGATCCCACCGTTCTGGATGACCGAAATCTCGTTCGCCTTCATGGCCAAACCATTGGAGAGCGCGGCTGCGTACTGATTCCAGAAGCTAGAAGGGTCTCCGTTCCCTGACCTCACAGCCAAATCTTTTGGAAACACATCTGGAAATTTTACAGGATTGCTCCCGAGAAAAGTCATGGGGCCGTCCACCGAAAGCCGTCTGCCTCGCCGAGCAGGTGTGCTGTTCCACATATGCGTCCCCATGTGAACCTGAAAAGAAACATGGGTTAGCAGTGGCATTCTTTATTGTTACTCATCACACAAGGATCTGCATCTCCAGTCTCATTATCTGTGGTAGGAACAGACAAGGACTTGAATATAATTTTGTACAATAAAAAGTGGCCAACTTAGGGCCTCCAGGCAGCATACAGCCTTTAGCCTAATCACTTGTGCCTCTCACCATAATTTCCAAAAGGCCAGCAAAGGGTATGTTTAGACTTAAACGGGTATGTTTAGACTTAGGCAAGACTTTTGGAAGCCCAATAGATAGGGAGGAAAACTGGGGGAAAGAATGGTGATGGGAAAAGGATGAAGATAGAAAGAAATGACAACAAGGAGAGAGAGTGAGGAAACAGAGGGACACAGGGAGAGAAAGGAAACTGAGCGGGTGGCGTGAGGGACAGAATCAGGGAGAGTGGGGGTGAGTAAGAAAAATGAGCCAAAATGAGAAGAGGCTTTATTAAGTTATATCAGTAACACACTCCACAGGAAGCTTTGACTGGGGAATCTACCAATACTGTTATTTGCACAAAACTTAATGTTCCGTTTCGACTTGTGAGTTCCTATGCAATTTTACACACCCAAGCTTCTATTTGGTATGTTCTAGCTGCTTAAAAATCTAGAACGTGTGTGTGCGTGTGCGTGTGTGTGTGTGTGTGTGTGTGTGTGTGTGTGTGAGAGAGAGAGAGAGAGAACAAAGAAAACACCAGAAGCTTCAAATCCCAACTCTGGGCCCCAGATATTCTTGGACTACAACTTCTGGGAATTTAAGTCCAAGAACATCTGGGGACCCAAGGTTGGGAGCCATTGTTGTAACCACTTCTTTCTCTGCTGGTGAACTTTGAATCCCAGACACTTTCAGGAGTTCTAATTTACCTTTTAAGTAAATCACAGCTGCCGGCCTCTGCACCATTTCCCCCCCTCCAGCTTGGGCAATCCATAAGAGCAGTGGTCCCCAACCTTGGGCCTCCAGATGTTCTTAGACTACAACTCCCAGAAGCCTTCACCACCACCTCTGCTGGCCAGGATTTCTGGGAGTTGAAGTCCAAGAACATCTGGAGGCCTAAGGTTGGGGACCACTGCATAAGAGGACATAAGAGTTTACTGCCTATTGGGCTAAAGTTTTCACTTTCCGAGTGGTGAAACCTAGATTATGTTTTTTTTTTTCTTCTTTAAAAATGTCTTGAGTTATATGTAGGTTCTGGGGGAAAGCAAGTCACTCATTTTTACCCAGTCAAAAGATTTAATACATGAGATGAAAATGGCTCTCCCAAAGAACTTCTTATTCTCTTGCCCACAGACTTCATATAAGAGGCGATCTCACAAAAGCTAAATTGTGTTTAGCACACAATTGTAGAGATTAGCACACAATTGAATCTCTACAATTGTGCGCTAAACTTAATTGTTGGGCACAAGCCCATGTTCTATCCCAGAGAACCATGAAACATGTACATCTGTAAACATGTGTCCCTGTGCACCATGTAGAGCAAGCTTAGTGGACATGTGTGTGTACACCATTCCCATCTAAGACAGGAACAGCAGTATAAATGTGGGAATCATACTGGCCATGTAAAAAAGTGTACAGTTGCCCTGACACTGAAAGCCAATATCAAGAAAAGCTTCTCCTCTTCTTTTTGATATACAGGATACAGAAGCAAATATCAAGAAAAGCTTCTCCTCTTCTTTTTGGTCTCTCACAATTTGACATCCAAGCAAAATACAGCCCAAGAAGAAGCAGCTGTGTGTACCTTAAGATTGCCTTTTGTCGTAAACGCTCTCCCACATATAGTGCAGGCAAAAGGCTTCTCTCCTGTGTGGGTTCTTTCGTGGATCTGCAGAGCGCTGGAGGACGAAAAAGTCTTCCCACACGTGTTGCAGTAGTGTTGCTTCGGCGTTCGTCGAGGAAGAATGGGAAGCAAGACCGGGGACGTAGCGGAAGGTGTCAAAGGCCCCGAAGGGAGTATGGTGGGCGATGCTTCTTTGCTGTCCTGGGGAGAGCAGTGGACGAAGCCATTGACCTCAGTCTTTATAAGAGACGAGAGGGGGTTCACAGGTATTGCCGATGAGGAGTTTGGACAGGGGCCGAGGTTGGAACTGGGTTCAAAAAGCTGTGATGGTAGATCCCGCATTTGATGGGTCAACATATGCTGCTTCAAATTACCCTTTGTGGAAAAGCCACGATTGCAGACTGTGCAAATAAACGGTCTCTCTTTGGTATGACTTCTGTAATGAATGTCCAAGGCACTCTGACACGCAAATGTTTTGCCACAAATGTCACACGCTGTGTTTTTAAGCTTGCCTCTGTCTCGGAAAGGAAACAGCATGCTCAGGGACTCTTCCTTGATCATCTTTTCTGGGTTGCTTGAGGTCAAGTCCAAAGCGCCACCATTGGCGAGAGCCAAGGGCCAACCATTGGCAAAGTCGCTCAACACCGTCTGGGCTGGTTTCTCCTCGGTGCTTGGCGATTTGTGGTAATCGTTCATGCTGTTGGATGGGGACAAGGCCTGCATGGAAGAGGTAGACTCTGAGATAGCAGGACTCCCAGCGCTTTGGCTTTCCATATCGCCACCGACCGACGATGAATCGTTCGTCATGACGTCCCCTTCCACTGAACCATTCTCTACGGACTTCAAACTCGCCTGAAGCTGTTCGGCAAGGCCTGCGTTGATCATCTTCATCTGGTTTTCCAAAGCAGCAATACTCGACATTTCTGGGGGAAGTGGGGAAGAAGATAAACTATCTTGAGATGCATCAATGGATTTGGGTGTGTCTGGTACACTACTATCAGGACATTCATCCATGTTCTCATCAGAGAAATTATCCAGGTCATCGAAATTCTTCTCATCAAAAGATCCTGTGTCGGATTCCATGGACTCAGGATAGTTTTCAGTCACAGGAGTGTTGGGGATCTGGCCTCCCATGTGCATCCGGATGTGCTGCTGTAGCACAACGGCGTTGGTAAACTTCTTCTGGCAAATGGGGCAGGAGTGCTGGACTCTCAATGGGGGCATGGCACGGTGGACACTGTAGTGCGTCTTCAGATTCCCTTTCGTCGTGAAGGCCCGTCCGCAGATCTTGCACTTAAACGGCCTTTCGCCAGTGTGGGTCCGGTAGTGCATTTTCAAAGCACTCTGGCAACTGAGAACGCGATGGCAAATGAGACACTCGTTGGGATCGATTGCCTTTTTATCAATATTTTCCACGAGCTGCTGCAGTTTCGATGTCTCGGAGGAGGGCGTCGCATCCAGCAGGCCTCCAAATGGAAACTTTGCCTTAAACTGCTCAGACATGAGAGGCATGAGGGGGTTGCTGTTAGAGCTGTAATCCACCGCAGGCGAGGGGATGGAACTGTTCACATTCGCAGAGGCACTGGGCACCTGAGTGTTATCTTCTAGCTTGTTGTCGGGTTTGTTGTTCATAGTTTGGAAAGTGGCCACCTCCCCTTCAGCCAGATGCCCATTTATGTTCCTCCCAGCAGGATGGACAGAGCCTGAGTCACTTTTGACAGAGCGGGCAGGACTGGATGAGGGATGGGTGATGGGAATCGGCTGAGGCTCTTCCGTTTTGATGAAAGGGGTCAAAGCGGGAATGGTGGGGGGAAGCGGAAGGCCCACCGAGGTGGTCAACGTCGATAACACTGGCTTGCTGTCCAGCCAGCTTGTTACAGGTTTCTCGGGTGGGATCGACATTCCGTAAGGGATCCCTGTACTTGTGGGAACGTTGTCCAAATGCTCCGGGACCGGGTAGGGGTTCATCTGAATGTGCGGGTATTTTTCTTTATGCCGTTGGAAGTGGACTTTTAAGTTCCCTTTGGTGGAAAACCGGTTCCCACAGATGTTGCATTTGAAGGGCCTCTCTCCCGTGTGAGAGCGCAAATGGATTTGCAAGGCACTGTCACTCCCAAACACTTTCGCGCAGAACCGGCATTTATGCTTGAAGAACGCCTCGTCAGAAGTACTTTTTGCCTCAAAGGGGGCTAGATGGGGTGGCTTGTTTTTTCTCTGCTGGGACAAAGCAGCCAATGCGTTTAAGTCCTCAGCAGGCGTTGCAAGACTGGACAGTGGGTTGGGGAATACAGAATTGCTAGGGGTGGGTTGAGGTAGAAGAGGGTTCGAGACAGGGCTTAACAGGCTGCTTATTGCAAAAGCTGGCGAGGTTGACACGGTCGCCGGCGGGTTGCCGAGCTGCGGGCCACCAGCGTTCGTAGCCACTTTGTCAGAGGACGGTGTTGTGACTGCTACAGCAGGGAGGTTAATATTTGGAGACGAGCCACTACTGGATGGAATTATTGGGTTGCCAGGATTGCTCTGAGGTAGCTGGAGAGGGGGTAGTTGCTTCACGCCACTGATGCTGGCAGACTGGCTAGCGAGGCTCTGCGCCAACCCGGCGGCCGCCGCCAGCTGTTGGGATAGATGGGAACTTAATGTGGACAAGGGGTTGGCTGATGTCCGCAACGTGCTCGGAGAGGGGGCCGAGGCTGACGGCGGGTCCGCGTTCTGGGAAGCCAGCAATAATATTTGGTGACGAATCTGTTCGATCAGTTGCAACTGGTGGATCTGCTGTTGCTGCAGAGCCAAAAGCTGCTCCATGAGCGCAGGGACAGCGAGCTTGCTGGCAGTGGCCCCGTTGCACCGCGCTTCCTGGGAGAACTGAGCCACCGCCACTTTCGTGCTCTGAAGGTTTTCGATGATGACGTTGCTGTTGATCACAGAGAAGCCGCCCAGAGCTGTCAGTTCCCCTAGTTGAGGTAGAGAGGTTGTGATCGCTGAGGTACCCACTGTGGAGCAGTTGCTGCTTGCAATACTGGTGGTGACGTTCTGGGAACTACCACGCGGGCTCTGGCTAACGCTAGAAGCCACCGCAACCATGGCGTCTTCCTTGTCAAGTTTGTTGTTCTGCTCGGAGAGGTCGTCACAGTCTACTTGATCCATGTTATTAGCTGTGTCATTCCTCGGTCCGTCCGGATTATCGTCGGGGGAGCTTGGAGGGAAGGCTTCAGAAGGAGAGATGGGATTTTCATTCACAATTAAAACTAATTGATTTTTAGTACAGTTCTTCTTGTGTTGCAGGAGATCTGATAGTTCAAAGAATTCGGCACAGCATCGGCTGCAAACGTGGGCGTCCTTCGGCTTGCCGGTTCGATTTGTTTGACCCTTCTGTGTGTCTCCTGAAAAGATCAAGGGAAGGGGAGAAGGGAAAGAAAAGAGCAAGATTAGCCAATGAGCTGAAACAAAGTGGCTTCCAGAAGAGTGGTGGGCAACTTAAGCCTTAGAGGAATATCAATATCATAAATGCTTCTCCACTGAGAAGACCGTTTCCTTGACTCGGCTTCACTCTCTCATCTTTTAATCATGAGTGGCCCTCAGTTTTCTGTTACTTTTTTCCAGGGAAATCATGACTTGTGTTGCATTCCAAACTTAAGAAAAAGAAAACCTGTGTTAATTTACATCTAATTGTGCCAAAGTTTGGTGTCCTTTCAGGACAACCTATAGATGTTACACCTCCAATCTCAAGAAGGAAAGTTCACAGGGCATGCTAAGATGCACCATGTTCTGTGATGTACCTTTTAATATGCTGCAGCTGGTAAAGTTTCTACTACGCATCACCACGACATATCACTGGATGTGAGCTATCATATCCTGGCCTCCTGCATTCATTTTAGAAGACAGAATAGGGTTTGGAAAGTGAGGGAATGTAGAGCACAATAAATGGAGAACGTCTTGTAGGCAGAGTGCAGCTATGCACCCGTGGCTATGTCTGGTTTTGAGCCACGTCAGTTTCACATGCTCACTTACAAGCCCGTTGCATCCCATTTTTACAGTAATGTGCCGTTTTAAAATAATCTGTATAAAAATCACATTTAAATACGCACTTCTCAGGTTCTTCTCTTATGCATAACCTGCTTAGACCACATGGGTCTCCCACCTCGGTCGAAACTTGCTTTATTCTAAAGCACATTTTTTAATATAAATGCACATACGGAAAACTAATTTAAAAGTGCAAGTCCGATGGGTCACATAAAAGCTCTGTCCAAAAAGTCGGCTGTGTGATGAGCAGAGGACATTGCAAAAATGTGCAGAAGTGCCAAAGCTGGGGTGTCATTATCATCTGAGGTGCATGCCAGTTCTACAGGTGGAGAACAGTGAAGCTTACAACTACAGTACATTCTCAAAGATAAGATTCCTTGTGCATTTTCATCTCAGAGCAAACACGGGTGGGAAAATTTGGGAAAAAGGAAAGAGTGTGACAGTCGTGATCTCAGAAAAGGGGTCTTGTGAGTATACAGGCAGCTGAAACTTTCCTTGGGTTCTCTCCCCTTTCCATCACCTGCAGGTGTCATCACTAAGCAACACAATAGGGTTTCGTGAGTTGGAGAAGAAACTGGTAGATCTTACAACATTTCATCCCACATGGTATCTTTTTCTCACTCCAGGGCATTTTTTGGGGGGGGGAATGCTTCTTAGTCCCGAATATTGTATCAAAATAGATGATACATGGGGAAAAAAGAAAGCAACTGATTTGGGGATTCATCGATATTGTGCTTGATTTTTAAGACAGTACGAGATGATGTTTTTATGGTTATCCTCAGCTTTGAGGATCATTTCCTTCAGATAATCCATGCAGCATGAACCAAAGGGATTGGGGCAGAATGCAATTCCATATTGATTTCCAGTGCTCAGTACAGCTTCTGGCTGGCAACTCAAGCATTTGAAACACTCATTAGAGTCCCAAGTTCGCTGTCAACCTTGTTCGTCTTCAAGAGATTCGAGGGTGTCTTTGACAGTCACCCCCTCACTAAACTAATTTGTAGTCATTCAAGATCCCAATCAGTGGTTGACAGGAAGAAACGGGTGGAGGGCTAAACTGAAGAAGAAAGCATGGGCCACCCAAGCTTCAGGGTGACACCAGCGAATAAACAAACAAACAAATAAACAAACAAGCCAGATTTCACATTCCTGCAGAATGCCTGAGCCAACCCTGATCCTTTTACAAAACATTCCAGCACATGTAGCGGCTTTGCGGAAGAGAAAATGGAAAAGGGAGAAATCCCCTGTCAAAGAATAATATTCATATTTTCACAATAACACATTTGTTGCCTAATCCCGCTTATGATGCTTAGTCAAAGGCCCGAGGGATCGTTGAGCTCGGCTGTTGCTCCAACCTTACATGGCCCTCCATGCGTTATGAAATTTTTTTCTAGTTAAGAATATTTCAGTCCACGCCAATGTTACTAGCCAGAGAGCTCCTGCCTTTACCTTGCAAAACTGCCTGTTTGTAAGGGTTTCACATCCATTGGGACATTAAGTCCCCTGATCAACAGGACTTAATTGTGTGTGTGTGTGTGTGTGTGTGTGTGTGTGTGTTACCTGGAAAGCCCTTTTAGGGTCTCCATAAGTCGGTTCCGACTTGACAGCACAACACATTTTTGTTGTTGTTTAGTCGTTAAGTCGTGTCCGACTCTTCGTGACCCCAGGGACCAGAGCATGCCAGGCCCTCCTGTCCTCCACTGCCTATCAGCAGACACACACAAACACAAATGTGTTTAGGATTGGGGGTATCAGATTGCTTTCTTTTTATTATACCAGTGCTAAGCCCAGCCATACTAGGGTAATTCTCTGGGTAGCGCCATTGCAAATATATAAGATCTCCCAGCTCCATGTAGTCATTGTATTTTTACAACCACGAAGATTAGATCAGAGTATGACCTCATAATCCATAAAAGCAGCATTAAAAACTAGATTTCTGGGAAAAAGAAAAGAAAACACGCCATCAAAAGGAGGGCTGGGAGAGAGAAGAAGGGACAGAGATGAGCTGTTAAGAGAAAATGTTTCTATACAATAAGAAATCAATCTGGGTTGTTAAGGTTGATAACCCCATTGCAATCTTCCCTGCCTGAGTGTGTATCAAAACTATTTGCTTTTAACTCTCGTCAATTGTTTAACAGATAGCTCAGAACCTTTCATTAGGGGGGAAAAAACCCTTTCATTTCATGTTTATTATCACCAGTTGCTCCCTTTTCTTATCGCTGAGATCCATTTGTAAATTAAACGTTGCAAAAAAAAAACCATCACCACCCTCTCTTCTGACTTCAAACTAGCTGATCTTACTCAGAGAAATATGGCTCCCTATTGTTTTCTCAGCGTGGGGACACTGAATTCTCTTGTACAGATTGTGTGTGGTCAACTTGGAAAGCCTAGAAAGGGGGTTGGTGGTGGGGGGAAGCCCATTTAATTTACGGATTACTTCCCTGCCTGGTTGGCTGCAACGCTAAAATCAGATAATAGGTAGTTTCCATGACTTCCAAATTAAATCTCAGAAGAAAAAGAAGAAAATGAACATTAAAAAGTTCCTAGGAAAAAAATAATAATAACAAAGGAGGGTAGGGGAAGCAGAGAGAGAGAGAGAAATATAATTTGCTTTTACAAGTTAAAACTGATCCAGACTTATAAACAGTCATTGAATGTAAGGAAAGGAAAGCAGATGTCCCTGAGTTTTCTTAAAAGGAACACTTTTTAAAAGCAGCCCACCGTTCAGACAGAATGGAGGCTGAACTCTGCTTAAGGCTCCCTCGGTTTTCCTCTTCAGAATCTTAGCTGGGAGAAGAAAATGCTAACTTACTCTGCAAATAAGAGAGGGGGAAGCCAGAAGCGCACAGTGAATCAAGCTTTTTTGGTCACTCTTGTCTGACAACAACCCAATAAATAACATTGGAAATGTAATAGTGGTGCCTATAGATCTAAAAAAAAGGTAGAGCAAAAGATTAAATGGAATCCATTTGCATACATGGCACTAGTTATTTCATCCACACATTGTGACAAACATTGAATTCAGAGCATTGTATTTTGACAACTAATTTCAAATGGCGCATCCATTTTAGATGCTTATTTTAAAACGGGGAGGGGGAGATGAGAATCTAATTCTGAATATAGCTGAGAGACATGCTCTCCTTTCCTCTCTTCACATTTCCATATATAATGGCGATGTTTCCATCTACTTTTACAGCCAATTATGAAGGAACAAAAGCTATTCTGTTTGTTCACACATTTGCCACAAAATGCATTAAAACTATTATGTCAGCATGTTCTATTAAGCTCCGCATTCAGTTGAAAATACTTTTCAACCAGATCGCATTTTATCAAAACATAAAGCCCACTTTAAAACATAGTTTTGCTTGGTCAGCTGCGCTTAGACAAATAATGACAGATTCAAAACTAAATAACTAGCAAGGGAGGGGAGATCAGAAAACTGACTGATGAATTGTACACATTACAATGGATTTACTTCAAATATTTAGCATGCCTGTTCTAAAAATTTTTTTAAAAAAACCTGGTCTAATTCTTTCTTCTTGCCCTTCTAATAGATCATGACCACTCTGGTTTACAAAAAGCCCCTGTTCTTTTTTTTTTTAATTTATCTACCTACAACTTTCCTCTAGCAGAAGGTTGACAAAACAATCATCATAACTCATCACATTATCTTTGTCAAGTTACTAAGTCCTCCAGCCTTTCCATGAGAAACAGGCGGCGCAATGCATTCGACTTGCAGAAATCAAGATATATCTTTCCAATGTGTCAGGTTCTCCCAAAAAGACAGAATGTTGGATCTGTAATGAACTAATAAAAAAGGGGACATGCGGGGACACACAAACACACCCACCTTAGACCTTGCAAAACCTTTATTCAAAGGTGCAATATAAAAGAACTTCTTTTCCCAGTGTTAACCAGGCTGACCTCATTTTTTTTCCAAATCAAGTTTGATATGTGAACAATTCTAACGTAATTTTAAAATGATATTCTACTACTACTACTACTATGTGGTACAAAGAGTAAAAACCAAATATACAACACTGTTCAGCCACAGCCTAAAGTCCTATATGCTGTTGTGAAGTGTGGTTGAAACAAGTGTGGTAGCTAGAAAATGGTACAAAAAGAGTACAATATAAAGTAAACCTCCATTACTCTTACGTCCTGCTTTCAGGCAAAAAAACCCACATGGTATTTTTAATCATATTAATTGGCAACCTGATAAACCAAAGCAATCGCGTATATCACCTGAGAGCAAGACTTTGTCATTCGGTGCATTGTTTTTCACAAAAGTGCAAACCGTTATCTGCAATCAGTGCTTTTGAAACAGAAGAGCCAAAGATCCTTATTGATCACCAAACACAGAGAGAAAAGCTATACTTTTGCCAAAAGGAATAATTAGCACAAACACAGAGAGAAAAGCTGTACTTTTGCCAAAAGGAATAATTAGCAATCACTTGTAAAAATGTTTCTCCAGCAAACTCATACAGTATTAGAAAATCTACCGGTGGCCAATCTGTGACCAAACGGTTCTTCCAAACTCATGAGAATTTCGGGGCTAACTCAAAAACTCTTTGACCCAGCGGGGTGATTCTCCCACAGAAAGGAAATACAACCTATTACAGAAGGTTTTTAACTATTGACTAATCTGCAGTTTAGAGAGAGCATCCGATTCATCTTTCCTCCATCTGCTGGCACAGCTAAAAGATGAGGATCTGGCAACCCCAAACTTTCTCACTAATAACCTCCAAGTTTCATTCCTGACTACTCAGAGAACTCATTTTCCATTTCAATGCAAGATCCACAGTTAACTTTACAAGCCTAGGCCAAGCAAACAAGGCACACAATGGTTTAAAATATGCTTTGAAATTTGCCAACGGTTTTCCGATTTATACAAAGGGTGAGACAAGTTTAAAGAGGGGGGGAGATGAGTTGAGAATCTAAATCATTTCTCTTATCAAGTTTTATTTCTCTCCAGTCTGAACAGTGTTTGGAAGCAAGGGGAGAATTAAAAGAGATTTATGTACTACCAAATATTGTTTTGAAAACTCTTGGGGGAAAAAAAAGATTTTAGCGATGAAACACCCTCATGATACATCTTGTTTATGGCATTCATAGGAAAGTATCCTGCTTTGGGACAAACCTACAAAGCAGAGAGTCTAAAATGTATTTCTTTATATCTGACGAAGTGGACGTGCCCACAAAAGCTTACATTAAAATAGAATAGCCAGTCTTTAAAGTGCCACACGTTTTTTTTGTCTTTTGCTTTGCTTTGTTCCTTTGGACTTTGCCTCAAACTGTTCAAAACGAGGAGCAAACTCATTCCCACGGATAAATGAAAATGGACGCTAGGTGGGGTCTCGGTAGCAACAGTTCCTCCTGAAAAGTTGAGAGAGGTTTCATTGTGACAAGCCCGAAAAGGGGCGTCAGTGGCGGAGAGGGAAGCAATACCTAAACTTGGATTGTGTAAACATTGGCAAAAGAACAAGACACCAAATCCCTGTTGTTTGGAGTATGTGTTTGGGGGGGAGAGAGAGAGAGTAGGAGGGAAGGAACTGTGGCAACCGGCTGTCAATCTCCACTTTGGGGGGTCTGGCAGCCAAGAGGGTGGCGAGGGAATAGGGGTTAGCCAAAGAAGCCCAGCTGATAAGGTGGGGCTAAAATAAACTACCAGCTTCCTGCTAAGACTCCATTTGGGGGGTCACCAGGGCGAGATACTGAACAGCGGAGTGCAATTTGAACTTTGTCACCTCGGGCAGCGGGGGAGGCTGGCAAAGGTTAAAACAGCTCAAACACGTTGGGTTTTTCCTTTGCACCAGTTGGCCAAGAGGCCTCGCCGGGTTGACCCCGGGTGCGAGCAAGCAACCCCTTCCGCCGGCAGCATCTGACTTTTCAGAGGGTTTTGTGTACATCTCATCATCTGCCTTGGGAAAGTTGCAAAAGGCATCGGAAAGCTCAGCCCTCTGGAAGTTGCTCTTCCTAGCAGTTCTCCCTCATCACCCCCTTTATTCCCAAATAATTTTTTCCCTTCTCCACCTCTCAGGAGGGGTAGGCAGGAAGGGTACTTCCATAAGCTGAACAAATTCCATAAACTGCACAAATTCCATTTTAAAAAATATTTTCAACTCCTCTATTCTTCTCCTTGTTTGCACATATATTTCTTCTAACGAATTGAACATATATTTCTTTTAACAAATTTCTTTTAACGAATTGAACATATATTTCTTTTAACAAATTGAACCAGAAGTGCAAACAAGGAGAAAAAGAAAGGAGTTGAAACAGTCATTTAAAAATGATTGTGTGAAGCTTGAAAAAACTTTGCAGCTTCCAAAAAAGTGGGTTGAATATCTACTGATCCTCTCACATTATTTCACCCTCAGCATACAGCTCCATCTCCGGGAGGAACCAGACTTAAAACCCATTGATAAGCAGGCCAATCCCATCCATTTAAATGAGGTTTACTCCCAGGTAAATGTGTTGAAGACTCTCCGCAGACTTACTCCT